GTACATCTGTCCCAAGGGTGGATTCCTTTTCACGAATTCCTACATCTGTTTGTCACGAATAACCACATGTGCCAACGCAGCACTTTCTGAATTGATATCCTTCCACAAAGGACATTATTAGTACTTATAATTTATTGTATGAACTATTTACAATTGGTCATCATTCAGAGAGTGAAATACTCAGATTGCACCGTTATTGCACTTTTCTGCACTTTATTTACTTATACGTTAATATCATATGCGTTTATAATATGTTTCATGCGTTTATAGCGCTGCACTAATACTTTTCACACCCTGCTGTGACAGCTTGCGGCCGGGTGCCCACTACGCATGCTGAATGGCCCCGTAGTCTTCTGGGACCTGTCATGTCCCAGAAAACTACAGGGAGGGAGGGTAGGAGAACAACTTCCGCTTCCGATCGCCTAGGAGCAGGGAGCAGGTACCTGTCAATTTCGGGTACCCACTTCCCAAAAGGTTCCAATCCTTAATGGGGAGAGGGGGACCAGTCTTTAAAGTGGAACTTCCCCTTTTGGGTGGAACTCCGCTTTAATCATTCACAGCTTGCAGGCACAGGCTTCCAGCTAGGAAGGTCTCTGATAACCTCCAATCTTCAAGCAATGCATAAGGAAAGCTAGCGCTCCAGTGCACCGGCTATAATCAAAAGTTCTTTATTAAAGTTTGTGTAGTACAGGCATGCACTCTACTGATTGTACTACACGAACTTCAATAAAGAGCATTTGATTATAGCCGGTGCACTGGAGCGCCAGCTTTCCTTATGCATTGCTTGAGTCCAAAAAAAGGACTTCACTCTCTCAATCAACATTGACTATTTTTAATCCTTTTTCTGCTAGAATTATTCAGTAGATAGAAAGGTATATCACATCTACTTGTTTTGACCTTTCTAACATTTATTCAGTTAATAGTTTTTTATTCCTGGTTTCTTGCCTAGGCAAATTATGTCATACATCACAGCATCCACATATGGCCCTGCAAGTTGACAAATAGGAGTTGCGTTTTCATTTTGTTATATTCACTGGGTGACTAGAGGGCACCAAGGATTCTCAGTTATTTGAAGTATGAGTGAGAGGGGAGCCTGCACTCTGATATGTAATACGGTTTATAAAAGTAGACTGATAAAGGGTCCAAAGGACCCTTCTACTAGGTAACGTAATGCTGGCAATCCATGGTGTGAGAAATGCGTCACTGCGGTCACATGATCCCTAAACCACGCCCCACCCGCACCGCCTCCCGGCGTCTGAAACTCTTAAAGGGCCGGGAGGCGCCGGCGGGAAGGGGTTAATTACTAAGCTCTGGAGCAACTGCACTTTACTATTTGCCTTTAATAAATCAACCCCCTATGTTTACATCTGGGAGCATGGAACATCTTATTATAGCAAGTGTTGGAATGAATTTCTTTTGTCTTATTATCTTGGATACTGCTATCAGAGCTAGCCACAGGCAGGGGTTTATTTACTAAAGCTGGAGAGTGCACAATCAGGCTCACTTCTGCATAGAAACCAATAAGCTTCCAGGTTCTACTGCTAAAGCTTAATTGAACAAGCTGAGGTTAGAAGCTGATTGGTTTCTATGCCGAAGTGAGCCTAATTTTGCACTCTCCAACTTTAGTAAATAAACCCCACAGTGCCAAACAGAGAAAAAATGTATGCAAACAATTGCACCAAACTTCATGTTTCTGCCAATTAGAGAAATGTATGAATCTTGGGTGAATGTTTTGTGAATGTTGGGTAAAAAAAAAATGTATAAAGAGACCCTTTAGACCTTGCACAAAATAAGGGATATTGCTTACCCAATAGATGACTGCTAACCTAACAGATACTTAAAAGAAATCTATTATGAGAAACATATGGGGGGAGATTTACTAAAACTGGAACACTCAGAATCTGGTGCAGCTGTGCATGGTAGCCAATCAGCTTCTAACTTCAGCTTGTTCAATTAAGCTTTGACAATAAAACCTGGAAGCTGATTGGGTTCTGTGCACAGCTGCACCAGATGTTGCACTCTTCAGTTTTAGTAAATAATCCCCATGGAGGCTGCCTGTGTTTGCGTTTACCTTCTGGAAAAGATAGTTACCTGTCTGGGATGATGACATTTCTTTTACTAGTTTGATCTGTACTGACCTTGTCCCAGGTCAGTGACTTCGAAAACACCAACAGTTAGGCAACTATCAGAGGAAGGTCTGCAGTGATGGCTCCCATTTATCCCTCTGGACATGTTTAACAAATTGCCCTCAGAGGATTTACCCCCCTTCCTGACCAGGCCATTTTTTGCTGTTCGGCACTGCGCTATTTCAACTGGTAATTGAGCGGTCGTGCAATGCTGTGCCCAAATGAAATGTATGTCCTTTTTTTTTATTTTTTGCGTTATAAACAAAAAAAAGACCATAAATTTTGAAAAAAAACTATTTTTTTTGGTTATAAAAAATATCCAATAAACTGAAAGTTAGTCATTAATTTAGGCTAAAATGTATTCTGCTACACGCCTTTGGTAAAAAAAAAAATCTTGTGTATACTTGTTGGTTTGTGTGACAGTTATAGCGTCTACAAACCATATATATGCCTGGGCAGTACAACCCCCCCCCAACAAATGCCCCTTTCTGGAAAGTAGACACCCCAAGGGTTTGCAGAGAGGCATGTTGAGTCCATGGAACATTTTATTTTTTTGCCACAAATTTTTTGAATATGACCTTCTTTTTTTTTTTTTTTTTTTACACAAAGTTGTCACTTTAATGATAATTCTCATGCATGCCATGGGTATATGAGGAATAATACCCCAAAACACATTCTTCTACTTCTCCCGAGTATGGGGATACCACATGTGAAAGACTTTTTGGCAGCCTAGCTACATACAAGCCCCCAAAATCCAATGACCACCTCCAGGCTTAAAAAAGGCATATTTCCTCATATCACTTCCCCACTACCTATCACAGTTTCAGAGGCCCTAAAATGCCAGGATAGCACAAACACACCCCCCCCCAAATGACCCCTTCATGGAAAGTAGACACCCCAAGGAATTTGATAAGAGGCATGGTGAGTATTTTACAGATATAATTTTTGTCACAGGGTTTTGAAAAAGAAAAAAATCTTTTTTTTTGTTTTCTTTCTTTTTCCAAAAACTTGTGGCAACAAATTAGATCTGCAAAACACTCCCCATGCCTCTTAGCAAATACCTTGGAGTGTCTACTTTCCAAAAAGGGGTCATTTGGGGGGGTTGCTTCTACTATTCTGGCATTTCAGGGCCAACATTAGGAGCTTATGCCACACATCACCCACACTTGAAGGCCAAGCCTTTTCTGACACTTTTTGTTCGCATGAAAAAACTGTTTTTTTGCTACAAAATTACTTTGAACCCCCAAACATTATATATTTTTTTAAAGCAGAGACCCTAGAGAATGAAATGGCGGGTGTTGAAATTTTCTTACGACATACAGTATGTGCGCAGTGATTTTTAAAATTCAAATCTTTTGGGAAAAATAAACTTTTTAGAATTTTAATCCACACGCGCAGGGGGCAAGAGTGCTTTTTTTCAGTTATTTTGATTTTTTTTTATTATTTTTACACTGTCCCTTTCATTTTTTTTAATCACTTTTAATGCTATCACAGGGAATGCAAATATCCCCTATAACTTCAATGGGCATTGTCATATATTCTTTTTTGAGAAATCTGGGGTCTGTCAGACTCTAGATATCTCCTCTGCCCTTACATTATTTAATCTAACCAAGATCGGTGTGATCAGACGCTTTCCCAATTTAAAAAATGGTGCTTTTTATATCCTGTGAAACTGAAGTGATGAAATGCTCGTAGCGTCTGATTTCTTAGACTATAGAGATGACTGGAGCCATTCTGGTCTCTGAGCAGCTCTATGGTCAGCCAGTGGAACCTCCGGCTGCATTATCGGATTCCCCTGTGGAACAGGAGAGCCCAAGATAACTGTGGAAGGCAGCAGGAGGATGGGGGGGATGTTCCTTCCCACTGCTCATAAAAACAATTCAGCATCTAACTGGCCACTAGGATTGTTTTTGCATGAAAGCCGACCACCAGCTGAAAAAAAAGATACTAGAATGATGCCTGTAGCTGCAGGCATCATCCCGGTATAACCACTCATAGCTGGTCCTTGTTAGGCATATATGTAACAGCAGAGAACACGGGCATACAATGAATTTGCTCTGTGGATTAATATGGGTGCAATTCATTTTTTTGTAATGCCCATGTTAAGGGTTAGGCCCAAAAAAGTTTTAAATTCAGAAACCGTGATATGTTTCCATGCGAATTGTCTGGCAAGAGCTGAATTTGGGTGGGCGTTGATGTATTGTTATGAGTATAAGTTGCCTTGGCCCACAATCAATTGATACAAATCTTCCATGAAAAACAGTGGAGGGGCTAAATGCTAGTGCTGGCAGCCAACCGGGTCAATCCTGCTAACTTTTTTTTGGACACTATACAAAGGGGGCACTAGTATAGTTCTGTACGTGATCAATATATTGATCTGTACTTACACTATACTAGTAATGGCGGTGATCAGCGACCTATAGCGTGAGTGCGATAGTGTGCGGGCAATCTAATGCTAGCTGACCCTGGCTGGGGGAGACGCTTACTGAACCTGATGCTATCTGATGTCGCTAATGGCAGGAATACAATGATCAGTGAAAAATTCTATATACTGATACTGTACTAATGGCACTGACTGGGTGACGGGGTAATCAAAGGGTTAATAGGGGTAATAAAAGGGTTAATAGGGGCAATCAAAGGGTTAAATGTGCTAATCTAATGCATGTGTGTTAAATGTAGTGGTGCTTTTACTCAGTGCCGCGTTCTCTCTTCTCTCCCTGGACCAACGGGTGGGGGGGGGGTTGTGGGGGGCGCAGGTGGGTTCACATCCCAAAATAGGAAGGGATGCATGAGTACGTCGCTTTGCCAAGAGCTGCTGCTCGCCTGCAAAATGCAGGTAAACGGTTGGCATGTAGTTAGTAGTTAAAAAAAAAACACTATTCCTCCCACTGACACCAATGATGAGGCACTATTCCTCCCACACTGACACTAATGACAGGGCACTATTCCTCCCACTGACACCAATGATGGGGCACTATTCCTCCCACTGACACCAATGATGGAGCTCTATTCCTCCAACTGACACCAATGATGGGGCACTATTCCTCCCACTGTCACCAATGATGGGGCTGTATTCCTCCCACTGACACCAATGATGGGACACTATTCCTCCCACTGACACCAGTGATGGGGCACTATTCCTTCCACTGACACCAATGCTGGGGCACTATTCCTCCCACTGACACAATGATGGGGCACCTATTCCTCCCACTGACACCAATGATGGGCACTATTCCTCCAACTGACACCAATGATGGGGCACTATTCCTCCCACTGTCACCAATGATGGGGCTGTATTCCTCCCACTGACACCAATGATGGGACACTATTCCTCCCACTGACACCAGTGATGGGGCACTATTCCTTCCACTGACACCAATGCTGGGGCACTATTCCTCCCATTGACACCAGTGATGGGGCACTATTCTTCCACTGACACCAATGATGGGGCACTATTCCTCCAAATGACACAGATAATGGAATACAATAAGAGGTGGAGCTCTAATAGGAAGAGGTGGAGCCTACAGATGAAGGGGTTGGGTTTACAGATGAAGGGGTGGATCTTAAACAGGAAGAGGTGGGACAAATTTAGATGCGTGGGGTGCCCGATTTTAGTCTTGCCTAGGGCAGCACAAAAGCAAAATACACCACTGATTAGGCCAGCTTCTGTTGAATGGTCCTGCTGGACAAAAGCACTCAATCAGCGCTGATCAGTGTATTCTAACAAGGGGGTTCCCACAGTCAGAATACAATAGAACAGAGGAGGAGATTCCTGCAGTCACATTATTTGAAAGGTTGCAAGAATCTTTGCGTTTTTTTTCTGTTCAACCCACTAGTTAATGGAAAAAACTCACTATTTTTTTATGTTTATGAAATTTCAGATTATTATTATTATACACAATTTATATTGTGCCAAAAGTTTCTACTTTACAATATGTAGACACTGTTTTTTGGGCTAAATTTCCTGTGAGCTTGTAGGCAGGTGCAGTTTGTTTTCTCCACTGCATGTGGCGCTCAAATCGAGTTGCACCTCAGCCTGGTGAGGAAGTCCAAGAGAAACAATGTTTCTCTATGGTTTCCTGGGTCAATGGAGCAGCGTCCCGGTTGGCTACAATGTGCCCATGTGACCCTTGGTGGCCATCTTGGGTCAGCAGGGTCTTTTTGAGTTCCTGCCCTTGGGTTTTGTGCGCTTCTGGCATGTGGCTAATGTAGAGAGAGACACCACTTGTTAGGGAAAGTAACTAGCGGTAGGGAAAGGTTCCTGATGAGGAGGGGAAGATTAGGGACTCGCTATCCTAAAAAAGAGCTTCCCTCTTAGGACTGGACTGGCCAGGCCGTGCTTTACCCTCTGAAACAGACACTGTCGGTACCTCTTCTCTACATCTGACTTCATTGGACTGTGCGTTATTTTCCTAGGGGTGCTCTTCCGCCTGGGTGTTTGTATCATTGGCATTCTGTTTAATACAGTTCCAAAAAGTTCCATGTTTTACTGCAACTGGACTCCAGTTGTTTACTGCCCGCACCACGCTGCACCTACCCACAAGCTGCTTATCAACAAAAATTGGCAAAGCCAAAGACAGATATCATCAGTGCAGGTTTCTTTTAAAAAATACATTGACTGTAGTCTGCATTTTTTCCTTACGTGGAACCTCAGAAGTGCTAATAATACACTTTTGATAGGCATAGACAGTTTTGTGGCTCTTACTCCCTGTTTATCGCTAATTGAGGTGTCCTAGTTTAGGAGCAAGGAAAATATGTTTATCTAGGATTGCAGTAACTTATTACTAAACCTGACCACTGAATGTGTATATAGCTAAATAAATATTTAACTCAATTTCTCAAGAATTCTATGTCACATACACTGTAAATGCTCATGTTGTTACTGCAGTTTTTACATAGTGAAGTATTTTAATTAAAGTTTATCTAAAGCCAAAACTTTTTTTTCCTCAGTTTTGGGTAGTCAGGAACAATAACCTGTTAGGTTTTTTTATTCACATTAGGAGATTTCTGTTAGGCCAGGTTCACCCAATTGCATTCAAGTATTGCATTTTAAAGTTATATTAAACTGAAAAACAAAATATTATATATTACAGCTTACCAGTCATTAGATGTGGTGGCTGCATTCATTTTATTTTTGTTTAGTCTTTTTCTCTTGGTTTTCACCTGGTTAATGGGCCAGTAACAGATCCCCCATATTACAGTGCCCCCTTACTCTGAAGGAAGGAGCAGCAGAGACACCTTTGGGCAGCAGAATTGTTAATCTAGGAGGAAGGGAGTTATAGCTACACTAGCAGATTTAGATACACTAAACAAATTGAGGAAACACTACATATAACACTTTTTAGGCAGTTAGAACCGTTTTTTCTCTTTTGGGATAAAGGTTTTGTATACAGTATATTACTAAAAGCTGATCATTGTAAGCACTCTAGTCATTGGTAAATGGTTTGTCTCAACCCTCTAACTGATATATCTGCAGGACAGCTTGTTTTGTTGAAAAACATCAGACTTACTAGCCAGATCACCAGGCGAAAATAAAAGAAAAAAAGCCTAAAGACCCGTTCACAGTAGAATGCGATGTGGGAAACCACATTCAGAAAGCACTGTCCTTGTGATCTGCAGTTGGTGTCAGTGCAATGTTAATGACACCCCAAATGCAGATCGCAAATGCAGAGCGTTTGCCCGCACCGGATCGCATGGTACAAAAGTGCCATGCAATCTGGTTGTTGTGCATTTACGAAAGTGCATGCATTACTTTTGGTGCAATGCGGTGCGATTTCAGTCCATGCAGAGTAAATGGACTGAAATCAAACTGCATAGAAGTGTATATGAATCGCACAGTAATGTGCTGTGTGTTCCTGTGCAATTCCTAGTGTGAATTGGCCCTAAAACAGAAACCTCATGCAACTATCACATCTAACAATTGGTAAGCTGCAACATTATACATGTTTTCCTTTGGGTATATTACCACTTTAAGGCTTTAAGCACATGGGGATATTTGCCCATGCAGCATAAAGACAATGTGTATTTTTGGTGCCTGGATTGTCCTGGAGCTGCATGCAGCCATCCATACACATGAATGGATGAAGGCAACTTCATCCAGCTATTTGTCCCTGTTTACGTAAAGAAGTGTATGCACACAGATGGAATGCCCCAAATCCAGGTAGTGTGCGTCTGGAATAGTACATCTATGCACATAAGCGACTTTATGCAAATAGCAAAATATAGGGACGTACAGCCATTTTCACCTATTTATGACCATCGGCAGGTGTATGCAGCTCTGTGAGCACCAGAAATAATATGCAATGCGTTGATGTGCAAAAAGCCTTATGCAAGTTAGGTACTTTGGTGCTCTGTGGTACTGTTGATTCTGGAAGACACCCCAATACACTAAGACAGTGGTCTCCAAACTGTGGCTTGGGGTTGGAGGCGGCCCTTTGCTTGCCTTTATCTGGCCCTTGGGGCACCTTTCGTCCCACTGAAGCAAGAGACATTAATCCCACTGACACCAACAATGGGGCATAATTTCTGTTACGCCAACAATGGGGAATTGTTCCTCCCACTAACACCAACAATGGGGCATTATTTCTAACATTTATACCAACAATAGGGCACTATTTGTTCCACTGACACCAATGATGGTGCACTATTTCTCCCATTGATAACAACAATAGTGCACTATTCGTTCCACTGACACCAACGATGGTGCACTATTCCTCAGCTAATGCCAAAGATGCAATTTTTGCTCCTCCAGACGCCACGACAATGGCCCACAGTCCACCCCCTGAAGTCTGAAGGACAGTAAACTGGCCCTTTGTTTAGAAAATTTGGAGACCCCTGTACTAAGTCAATGCATCTGCACCACAGCACACTGTAACATTGCTTAAAAAAAGAGTCAGATGCTGCTCTGGCAGTGCTGGAAGTCTGCGCAGCAGACAATTGTGAGAGGGTAAATTTCCCCAGTGGTGACACAACCAACAACTAACAAGGCTGCTATTCCTTCCCCACTCTACCAAAAACTACAAAAACAAAAAGTATTGCTTTTAGATATACTTTAAAGTGTGTCTAAACCTAAAAGCAAAAAAGTTATATATTACAGCTTACCAAACCTTAGATGTGGTAGCTGCATTTATTTTCTTTTTTAGCCTTTTTTCATTTATCTTCCCCAGTTGATACGCCCAGTAAGTCTGTTATTTTTCCGTTTTCTTTAACAAATGAAGCTGTCCAGAAAAATCAGTAGTTGAGGAAAATAATGTAAAGTGGTTGTAAACCCTTACATATACAGTATCTCACAGAAGTGAGTACACCCCAGGGGCGGACTGACCATTCGAGCACTCGGCACTGCCCGAGGGCCCGGGGTCAGTAGGGGGCCCCATAAAATGCCCCTGGTACCTTCTTTTTTTTTTTTTGTTTAGGCTTTTTTGGGTGTGCTTTGAGTGTGGGCAAGGACAAAGGGGCCCCATGATCCCCTATTGCCCGGGGGCCCCATGAGTTGTCAGTCCGCCCCTGGTACACCCCTCACATTTTTGTAAATATTTTATTCTATCTTTTCATGTGACAACACTGAAGAAATGACACTTTGCTACAATGTAAAGTAGTGAGTGTACAGCTTGTATAACTGTAAATTTGCTGTCCTCTCAAAATAACTCAACACACAGCCATTAATGTCTAAACCGCTGGCAACAAAAGGGAGTACACCCCTAAGTGAAAATGTCCAAATTGGGCCCAATTAGCCATCTTCCCTCCCTGGTGTCATGTGACTCGTTAGTGATACAAGGTCTCAGGTGTGAATGGGGAGCAGGTGTGTTAAATTTGGTGTTATCGCTCTTACTCTCTCATACTGGTCACTGGAAGTTCAACATGGCACCTCATGGCAAAGAACTATTTGAGGATCTGAAAAAAGAATTGTTGCTCTACATAAAGATGGCCTAGGCTATAAGAAGATTGCCAAGACCCTGAAACTGAGCTGCAGCATGATGGCCAAGACCATACAGCGGTTTAACAGGACAGGTTCCACTCAGAACAGGCCTCGCCATAGTTGACCAAAGAAGTTGAGTGCACATGCTCAGCATCATATCCAGAGGTTTTCTTTGGGAAATAGATGTATGAGTGCTGCCAGCATTGCTGCAGAGGTTGAAGGGGTGGGGGTTCAGCCTGTCAGTGCTCAGACCATACGGCGCACACCGCATCAAATTGGTCTGCATGGCTGTCATCCCAGAAGGAAGCCTCTTCTAAAGATGATGCACAAGAAAGCCCACAAACAGTTTGCTGAAGACAAGCAGACTAAGGACATGGATTACTGGAACCATGTCCTGTGGTCTGTTGAGACCAAGATAAACTTATTTGGCTTAGATGGTGTCAAGCGTGTGGCGGAAACCAGGTGAGGAGT